TGTTACTACTAGCTTCTTGTTACTACTAGTAAGGCACCTGTTACTACTAGCGTGGCACTTGTTACTACTAGCTTCTTGTTACTAAGCAAATGTTCGGTTCAAGTTCTAAGAGTGTCTTTGGCAACATGCCAACCTCTATATTCATCTATATTCCAGATCTGCTCACATGCCCAAGACTGAACAATCCAAACCACATAGAAAAACACAAGGTCCATACAGTGATTTGCATTTGGGGTGGAGGATCTGAGACGCAAAGCACCAAAGCAAGTCAAAATCAGCAATGACCTCAGCCAAAAGAGGGGTATTAGGACTTATCAAATGAGGAGCCTGGGCCCTACCAGCCAAACCAAAGGCCATCAAACCGCATAGAAGGGCTGCATGGTTTTGGGCAACACCGTTACCTCCCTGTTCGTCCCAGCAGCTGCTCCATCAAGGCTGGAAGGTTGATATCATGTTCCCCTCGCACCCGCTGCAAGAGCTTCCAAACGCTAGCACGCCACCGCGCCGAACTGGCCTTGGTTCAGCTGAGTCCTCGTGAAATGATGTGATGATGAGGGTGGAAACAACGGGTTCATCAAGCTGAACCCTTCTGGATTGATAGTGCAACTAAAATCCTGTTGGGATCCTTGCCGGCCTGACAGTCGTAAGCATCCCCAGGCTGCCTGTGATTTTGGATTCAGTGGATAAAGTGCCTGCGCCCTTGTGTGTATGCAACTCATGATATGCATTCATTGGTTCGATCTGTTGTCAATGAGCTTCACACCCTCGAATCCACACTGGGCATCTCCTGGGTCCCCAGCACTGCGTGGCATCAGCTTCCCGGTCCGGAGAGCTTCCAGGTGCTGTGAGAGGAACCTGTGAGAGTCAGGAGGTTCCAAGCATATTATATACTGTCATACTGTACTTATTTACCAAGTCACTCTCAACCTACACCGATGTAACCATGCACCTTCGCAAACATCACCACCCAACACGGGAAGAGCAAGAACGTCGAACGTTCGCCGGGCCACTCATCGGGATCACGGTTTGCTTGCTGGGCTGCTACTCGGACACGCCGGAGCATACCATCCACGAGCTTCTCACCGTCCAGGAATTGCTGGGATGGGGGCAGCACTCCACGACGATGTTTATAACTGATCGTTTTGACAAAATACATATGTATATATACTTATACATATTTATATATTTATATAATATGTATATGTGCATTACGTAAAACAAGAAGGAATACCAGATTTATGTTATGACTTTCCAACTCAGAGTTTACCAGATTTATATAGATTTATGAACTTGCAACTCAGAGTTCAAGCACCAAACCATCACCAGCAGTAAAAAGAGCCTGTCTAAATTACAACCTATTCGAAACGGCCCAATGCATGGCCATCCCATGTTGAATCGGCATTCCATGTTGAACGACGGCGAGCTGCCATAGTTAGCACTCTTCTGGTGCACAGCTCTGGGAAGGTCTTGGGGATGATCACTCCTCAGCGAAGCTATTCGGCACCCGTCTCAAGTGGATCAGAGGAAACACCAGTTGCAGCGGGCCTCTTGAGTAGCAAAGTCTGTTAAGTTGGTGACAAATGCCGAGGGCAAGCCTGCTACAATGGATGACAAGCACGAATACATATATCTCATTGAATTACTAAATTCTAAGTTATGTTAATATTTATATAATCTATATATATATATTATATATATATATACATGAACATACTGATATGCGCGTGTTTCCTATATTTGCAGCGTGCCGGAACGGTCTTGTGCTGGCGACAACAAAAGCCTATCAATGTGGCCGTGCCAGTGCTCAGTACAAATGTATGCTTTGCGGGAATGGTGTGGAATTGCCGCATGCATGCCTGCGCCAACGCTTCTTGTGCAAAACAACCGTTAGACAGCTTTTACTGAGTCCCTGACGGTCACCCCAACGTTGGCTCACATTGTTGCGGACCTTCTCCATGTTCTCACGCTCAAGGGTGTAGTCGAACTCTGATTCAAACATCTTCTCCTGAAGCTGAGCTTGCCCGTGTGAGGCTTGACGAGTTCATCCTAACAGCCCCAGCATGCCAACCCGGATGAGAAACACCTTCAGGAAATTTATATCTCGATCAGAGTGACTATGAGTGACTGACATTTGCAAGTAGCCTATATTGGTCAATCGTTGCTTAAAAGAAACAGCAACCCCACTGCTGGGCCTTGCTAATCCTGTTACCTTTCCAATAACACTTTCACACAGAAAATGCTTGGAGTCACATGGCTCAGGCATGGCTGGGCATAGCAAATCAGCAAAGCATCTAGCTCGCTGATGTGGTCGACGGCCCAGGGAAAAGCGAGTCCTTGGCTCTACGTGCAAGCACCGAGGATGCAACTATTTAGTATATACCCAATTAACTGAATATAACTTAATCGTATAAATAACATAGTTTTCCCCCATATGTTGATCGCTATTATATTATATACTGCCGGGGTGGCCCTTGGAGAAATGAGGATGTCCCAGTTTTCTTCCCATCCAAGTGAAAACCCAACGCTCTTGCTCCGAATGGGTGGCTGGCGATTGAATCAAACTTGGAAGTTCGAAGCCACCAGATTCCATCCAGATCAAAGCTCTGTCAAGCTGAGAGACGCGTGAAGATTTTCAGCGTCCGGATGTCCACCCGGAAGAGCCGCTCCGCGCCGGGCATCTGCACCTGCAACACATTAGGGGGCAAAGCATGCCCTGATTTGACGTGATGTCTCCTGCGAATGCTTGTGGGTAGACAGAGGTGAAAAGGACAAAAAAAGAAGAACAAGTGCCTATAACGGTTGACCCGGAGTTGACCCCCCCAAAAAAAAAAACACAAGAAAGCCAGCGCCTTGATAGCGACATCTTCACCC